TAGACAGCCTAGAGCCTACGTTAACGTTAGGTCACCTACTTTGCAAGGCTTTAGCTTAATGTAGCCTGCAGACCTGTTTAGTTTTTTTCTTGTATGAGGTGCAACCTTAGAGTCATTCGAAATCCCTTAATGCATGGAGGACGCACCTCGTCTAGCTCCGGTGAAAGATCCAGCGAGGCTGATTCGATGGCCGGTGGACGCCGAGGGTAAAGATGATCGGTGTGCTGGGGTAGCTTTCAGCCACCTCGCTGACCAATCCTGCTACCTTGGCTTGACGGCGTTTTAAATGAGATCATCCACTATCACAAGGCTGTGCTCATCAACATCCAGTTCTGATGCTTCAGTCTCCGCAATGAAAGGAGGAACGAACGCATAATGTCGGAACTTGCACTTCGTCCACCTCCCTGCGGCTCTCGAGCCCCCGAGATCGACACACCACCGAACGAAGTCAATTTGTCGAAGGAAGACGCGAAAACTATAGATTCAAAGTTACTTCAGCAAGGGATCTGCACCTCCTGCCAGAAGATTACACTCGATCGTCTCTTGAAGACACACTGCGGCTCAGTCGGGGCATGCTGGCTTGAGTTCAACAGTGGTCAGCCCATAAACTGCCCCATGTGCAGACTCATCCTTAAATCTATCAACCTTGGAGATGAGAACACCGGAATTACTCGCCTTGGGTTGAGAGTAGATGACCCTCAACCGAAAACCGACATTTATACTGGGAGACGAATCCGGGATGTTCGTGTAACAAGGGACCAAGTATTCGCTGAGGACTACTTTGCAGATGGGTTGCTTCGCATATATGCGGAACCAGGTGAGTAACCCGCTTCATCCGTCTCTGCAAGTCTGAATCGAGGTCTGATTTTGATAGATTCATACGTTTCGAAATTCGGACCGAGAGTGTGTATACCATCTTCTAATCTCTCAAATACTACCTTCCAGAATATCTCTAGCTGGATTAAGGTGTGCGACCAGACGCATACAAGCTGTTGGAACCACTCATGGCAGTCTGCAGAACCAGAGACGCGATATTTGCCTACCAGAGTTGTCCATGTTGGCTCAGCAACTCGACAGCCACGTCTCCATATATCTCAGAGACACCAGAGCAATCGCTACATCGCGTTGAGCCACTGTTGGGGGAAAATTCCACAAGTCAGAACGTTGAACGCAAACATCGAACTATTCAAAGAAGAGATCATACTTGGCGATCTGTCGAAGACTTTCCAGGATGCGATCAACGTAGCAAGACGGCTGAACATTGAGTATATCTGGATTGATTCATTGTGCATAGTGCAAGACGACGATGTGGACTGGCTTCGGGAGTCCGAGCGCATGGGTGGCATTTATGCGAACGCCTATCTCACCATCGCTGCGACGTGGACCGCTGACGGTAGTGGTGGACTTGACAGCATCCGCCCTCAAAACGACTGGATTAGAATACCTTGCGACGGCTCTGACGCAGCTAAAGGAAATATGTGGTTCAGCGATGCCTCGTGGACCTCCCAAACCGATCTCGATGACGCACCACTGAACACGCGTGGTTGGGTATTTCAAGAAAAAATACTTTCGCGGCGTATCATTCACTTCGCTTCGACACAAGTGTACTGGGAATGTAAGCAGCGCTTTTTTGGGGAAGAAAGTGAGAACGACATCCATCTCAAGAGTGCAACCCTGGTATCCTCACTGTTCTGGGCTGACGTGAATGCCCTTCCTCCTATTATACCGTTACCCTGGGAACCTAGGGAAGATCTCAACCCGCTGTACCGCTCTCCAAGATCACAACTTGATAGGTTTTACGAAACCTGGAGAACCTTCGTTTGCTACTATTGCACCAGGAATCTCACCAAAAAGAGTGATCGTTTGATAGCTCTGCGGGGTATTATCTCAGTTGTTGAGAAAAAGACAGTGCTTCGTTGTGTCGATGGTCATTGGGAAGATGGTACGCGGAGGTTCGTGTGCGAACTAATGTGGGTTTCCAAAGCAGACAGAACCCTATCGGTACTTAATGACGGGCAGCCTTCTAGGCTGTGTTCTTCATGGTCGTGGGCATCCCTAGAGGGTCCAGTAGAGTACAACTTCGACCTGCATAAATGTGACGGAAGCTACGGCATGGACGAACGTGAGCTTCGTCTCGAGGCAATCGAAGACAGCGTTCGAGTCCCTTGGCCAAGTCGCCCTCTGAAGGTTTCGGGAATACTACGACCCACCTGCAAGTACGAACTTACACAAAATCACGATAGCCGTCGGGGCAGTAAACGCACCTTCACCGCAGGAATATCTGGGTATGCTGGCGAATGGGTTTGCTTCGACCGCAAGGATGAAGAGCCAGAAATGTTTCAATTCTCTCCCGTTCATATTCATGAGGGCAAGATTGTATGCCTTGCTTTACTCGAGAGACACGAACCCGAGAGCACGGAGCGTTGCTTTGAGCGCGTAGGCGTGGGAAATCTTAGCTACAACGCCATCGAGAACTCTTTTGAAGCATGCGAAAGGGAAACGTACTATATAATCTAACTATGTCGTCTTTCTGGGAAACAAGTCCGGACGAGAGAAAACCACCGGTGAAACTCAAGTTCAGAATCTGTTTCAAGCCTATCAATGCGCGAGGGTGCCCAGAGCCTCTTGAACGCAATAGTACCTAGCTAGGTGAATTGTCTGTGCGTTCATAGACACATGCACTAGAATCTAACTTGACTTTGATGTACCCGCTTTGCATATTTGTATCTAAATGTAGGCCATAAACCCGCTTGACCTTTTCTTTGCGTCGCAACCATCGCTCACACGCTACTGTCACCATACCGACTAGGAGTTTCATAATCCTTCCTCTCACCCCTGAACCTGTTCCAATAAACCACAAACATCGGCCGACAAATGATCGTCAAAACATCCTCTTTGCTGATCGGCTCTTCTGGAGCATACTCCCCGATAGACCGAGCCAAGATCGGTCGAACTTCCTCTTTAAACCACTCAGCAAGCGCCTCCATCTGCAGTGGAAGAAGTGGCTTGCGATCCTTGCGCACAACAATCGCACTCCCCACGTCGTTCTGCCACGGCATAGAACACCATCCCCAGCCCATAGATCCGGTGCTGGAATCTAATTCGGCGTTGGGGTCTGGATACTGGTGCAAGGAGGTTTCCCTTCACAGCTGGTCGCCTCAGCAGTGCTCAGCATCGCACAAAATGATGATTCCGAAACACATGTAAAAGTGGGGGTTTTAGGCTCGGGCAAATGATGATGACATCGAGGAGTTAGCTACAGTCAAGGAAAAGGTAGATACTGGGGGAACAGCGATTGACATTGTGGAGATAGGTGATCTAAACACGTGGCATATAGGTGTAGAAGTCGCAAGTATGTACGGCATCTTCTTTGGCTGAGGAACATGCAAAGAACCGGTGAAGGCGCCAGATTGCCACCAGCATTCTAAGAAGATAAGGCACTTTGGCTCTGCTTCATACATCGTGAATGTCAGAAAAACAGGACCCTTCGTAGTGGTAACTCGCGCGCGTCCAAGAGATAAGCTCACTATGTTTTACTGGCTCAAACCCCACCTTCAACAAATACAAATGCACGTGTGACCAACATTTTCGGATGAGGGATGAGCCAGCGTGATCTTCTCGCTTACAGAAAAGCCCCAAGTGTGTGGTGACGCAGAGTAGTTCGATGCTTTACTCTGAGTGATCGCTTTGTCAAGCCACTGAGGGGTATGCATGCTGCACACGCCGGATCAGGAGATCAGGTATGACTCCGCATGTTCATCGCTGGGTATATAAACACATACATCTTAGACGTCCGGATCACGCTGAGTACACAGTTCTTCTTCGATTCAACTACGCTCAGCCAACATACATACCCATTGCAAACGTCAAACAAACTCTCACCCTTTCCTAACAACGAACAATGTGCGTTCATCAGGAGATTCTGGCATAGCTAGCAAAGCTAACTATCATAGATGGCATTGTCCACAATCTCGATCGTCGCTCCAGTCAATTACTGCGAGACCAAGGACACAAAGGACGAGCAAGGAAGAGTGACCACACTCGTCGCGAAAGATTGCCACGACAAGGATTGCACGACCAGCGCGGACTACGTTAAACCCAACGCCCCAACACCGGACGTCCCAACAAACGTCTAGTCTGGCAAATTTAGGGAACAGGGCAGGACCATCTTACCCGTGCGTCGGTTCGTCAGGTAGTTAGACATGAGTAGTATCTAAATGACGCATTTCACCGCGCCTCGCACATTGACACCCACTTTCTTGACCTCTCGCTGAGCGCCTAATAGTACGCATCACGGTGATAATAACAATCTGACCGTCATCGTTCACTGATGACCACAAAGGCACTCCGAGTCTCTACAAGCTCTTCCATCCTGACACAACGTCAAGCGAGCAACAGCTCGCAAAGCCACCAACTGCTTATTACTCAACTTAGCACTGTGTTGATGCTGACAGTTTCCAAATTTCTCCAGATACGAACACTTGCCCAGCAGATAAAATTGGTTGCAGAGCCTGCAACCTTTCATCGCTAAGAAGTCTTTGGATGTGTAGGTCAGCGGCGAGTCCACACGTTCGCCGGATTTGTTAAGAAGTACCGTAGCAGCTGTAGTAGGCTGCTTGGTGACAGCGGGGTTATGCGCTTTAGACGACGAAGATGAAGAAGGTCCTATTGGAACCTGAGCAGCGGCCATTGCGTAGTCTGCCGATGGTGTTCGTGGCGGAGTCGGGAGAGACACCGTTGCGCGCCTAGGGGTGACCACCAGCATTTGGTTTCGGAACACGTTGTTGAATGATACAGTGTGATATCTGTCCTTAATCGCAGCTAGCTCTCTGGCGAACGGTGGGCCCTCCAAGAGAGTAATTCGGCTCCGCACTCCATCATCTTCGGTATATGGGCCCAGAAGTCGCGCATAGCCGTTGTCGGCCGAGCCGCCGAACAGTATCTGTTGGCAGTGCATATCCGCTAAATCGTGCCGAAACATTGCTTTGAGCTGTAAGTATTTAGCATCTTGTTTGGGTGACACATAACTCACCCTTAATCTTCTCATCCGAACACTCTTTGCCGTTGCCAGCATCAACATAATCACACATGGGATCGCCCATGTTGAATCCACGTACAAAATCGTCAAACGACGCTACCTGCGGGAGAATCTCCGCGTCTTTGTATGTCTTCGCCAACCCTTTCATGTTCGCGTAAACACGAACGACCACCTGGATATGGTGGGCCAACGCAGGTGGAGATGATCGAAGTTCTTCCTCAACAGCTTGTTTGAGTAAGCCGGCGGCTCTCTTTCCACCTTCTAGTCCGGCTTTCACAAGACCATCGTTGAACTAAAGTAGTCATTAGGGAGGGTCGATGAATGTCAAGAGGGGACTTACCAGCATACAATCACCATCGATCAAAACGGATGCGAAGGCATGACGAGCCTTCTCAACTTCCAAAACTTTGATCTCCTTCTTGGCTTCTTCGAAACGGTCGCGTGTCAACTTGATCACGTCTTTTCGATCACGAAGTTCGTACTCGGCTTCTGACAAACGAGCCGAGAGATCGTCCACATATGCAAACAGGTTCTGCATGGGAAGTAAGTGACTGGAGAAAGTTCGAGGGAGGGTTTGCCTACCTTGATCAAAACATGCTTCTGATCATCGTTCGCCTGGCAAGTGTCCCACACATCTTGCAAACACTTCAACTGCGCTTGCGGATCCGCCATTGTATCTCCTCGAAACGGTGCAGACGCGAAATAGTCTCAATAATGAGACCCTTGCAGCAGAAAGGCTGGGAGAGAGCAGAAATAAATAAGGCTGTCAATGACTGGGCTCACAGGTAAGTGCCTCGAGGCGCAGCACGGTGCACGTTACACAGCATTCGTCTCGTCGAATATTCTTCGAACGCATTACAATGCAGGCGCCAACGAACCGCTCATCCAATCGTTCGCATAGGCAGCACATGTGCATCCATCCTCATGTGCTGTAAGCCCCGGTCACATAGCCCCAGCGGCACGGTCCGGTGTATTGAATGTTGCCTCAGGCATCTTTTCCCGAAAGAGCGTCGAATTTAAGAATTTGATGTGATAGTAGGCGCTCGATGTCATCGCGCAGGATGACTTGGCCGGACAGAAGAACTCATGTATAGCAGGCATGCTGCGACCAGCGCTTGCAACCAAATTAGGTTGAATACGACCTATCGAAGATCAATTAGGTATAATTGTACCTTATTCATGAAAATCCCAACCACCTGAAGCCTCCATTAACGTTAGATCGCCTAATTTGCAGGCTTCCATTCTGATGTAGGCTACAGACCTTAGTGTCGAGTTCAGTGGTGGTTCCGGTTGCGAGAGATGCGATATCACGTCGCAGCAATGCGGTAATGGATGGCATAGACAATCACGTGGTCGCTAACCTTTACCACAGCCCAAGCTGAGGCAGATTGTTTCGGGCACTCATGATCCCGCGATTGAGTCATAGGAAGATTCTGAAGTCGTATGACAGCGCTACGTGCGCGTAAGGCTGGAGGTCGGTTCCCCGCTCAGCGCCGCGGGATAGCTAACCAGGAAAATGATGTAGGTACCTTTAAGGACCGATAGCATGAAGATACGTCTTAAAAGAGATGGGTCATGTGAAAAGACAGAATAGATGGAAGAGCACATGCGGATCTTGTAATAGCTATGGTGGATGATGATGCAGGTTATTGGGTAGTACAAACGCTGATCGGCAGCGGTCTAGCCTCGGCGATAGCGTGAGCGGCTGGGTGATGATGGGATCACAGCAGTGGAGGAATGAGGCACAGGTCACAGCCGCTCAACACTTTCCCCTCAATCTCGGCCTCGTAGGGCGCGTAGGATTATAAGACCTCTCTGCCCCCATCTGCCATTGTTGGGCATCGATAGCACGCTGAATCATCCGCCCCGCTTCGCCAATCGCGCGCAACACGGTACTACTACCATCACGCCCAACGTCCCGTACCGTCCGCCGTATCGCTTCGCCGCCCCACAAACAAGCTACCAGGCTATTAATCAGCAAGCGCCCGTCCGAAGTTGGACGAGATGGCCTCGCGCACTTCGACACCTTCGCGGTCGCGTTCCTCCTCCAACAGCAGCAGCTCTTCCGACACCACCATGATAGACGCGCCGCCGCAATCAGCTAGTCGCCCAGCGCGCCTCCGCAACCCTTCGCATTCGCGTAGCGCCGCACTGCCCACGCCTACAGCCTCCCAGATGCCGACCCACGAAGTTCTTCCCGATCCGTGCTTCTCACTGCTCTTGTCTCTGCCGAGAGAGCTCCGCGATCGCGTCTACACGTATGCCCTGGTTTCCAACACGCCGTTCCTGTGGCCCGGTGCCGTGTCCCAATCCGCGTACAGCAAACATCGCCATGTCAGCGTGAACCTCCTCCGGACGAACAGGCAGGTTCACGACGAAGCCGTGATTGTCTTGTATGCACAGAACAAGTTTCTATTCACACATCCCAGCGACTGCAACATCTTCCGCGTCGTCACGTCTCCCGCCTCCGCACACATAACGAGCGTGTACATCCGCATAAAGGACAAGGACCTGCCATTATGGACACAATATATGGGAAGCAAGAAGGCAGAGAGGAGCCTAAGAGTTGATCTGCCTAAGTTGAAGAGTCTCTGGGTATTCCTCAAATTGGGGATGTGTCCACACTTCATGTCTGGCGTACTGGCTGGGATACAACGCCCACTTCTCGGACCCCAACCAGCGGGACACCTACCGGCAGTTCAGAATGCTGTGGGACATCAGATACACACCCTACAGCAACATGTCCAGAACGCCATAAACCAGGTCATGACTACTGCCGGCGTGCAAATCGTCGGCGGCACAGGCGGCCATGCGCATACTCCTGCCAACGCGAACCAGGTCCCGCCTCCGCCTCCACCCGCGCCCGCGATGCCTTTCCCGCAATTCATGCAGGGGGCGTTGGGGATGGGTGGTCAAGCGCAACATCACCAACAAGCAATGCCAGCACCGCACGCCCACGGCCAGCACAACCACCCGCCGAACCCCAGTCCGCTAGCACAACATCTCCAAGCCCAACAGGACAATCCCACCGTCCAGGTCATACACCCACCTGCTCAGCAAACACCACCACCTACAACCCCCACAAACAGCACAGACCCCAACAAGCTCTACTCCGGCATGATCCGCTCCAACCGCTTCAAAGTCGTCACATCACTCTGCCTCCAACTCCACGACGTCCTCCACATCAAACCCCCTCCGTCTGCGCTATCCCCCGTATCCTCCACTTCCATCACCCCTACTGAATCGTTCGGCACACGACTACGCCAAATCTCACAACATCGACTAGTCGCCCTCGATCGACCCTGGACTGATCCAACTACTGGTGCTAGCGCCACGTCCGTCGAACCATCCCGCTTTACCAGCGACAGCAAGTCTTCCTTCCAAACAACGAAAACCGAGACCCTTCCACCGCCGCCCAACACGGAGATCAAGATTGTAACTATAGTACGGCCGGGCAAGAGATTTGTCAAGAGGCTACTTGAGACTTTCCCGGATGAGTTGGAGGTTGATCCCGTGACGAAGGATGCCAGAACAAGGTTTAGGAAGATGCATGGCGTGGATGTTAGTTGGGAGTTTAATGGGTTGAGTGATGTTGAGGCGAGCAGCGCGGCAGGGGTTGTGGTTCCTTGGGATGGGGGGTGGTGAGGGGATGGGATTGAAGGGGGGAAGGTCATGACAAGATTGGTGTGGTGGTTTGGACCTCGAGGGGACTATTGAGGCGCTGTATTTCGGCCGGGTGTTGCAACTTCTTTCGTATCGGTAACAGGACCTGGCCTCGTCCATTAGACTTTCATGTAACAAAGTCATAGCAGCATACTACCCAAACCCTAAGCATAAACATAGCATAACGGCCCCCCAACCGTACTCATCGCCCCCCTAATCGTCACATTCCCCACTCCAACCCACTCCCCCAGTGTAATAACATCCTCCAACGTCCCTGGCTCCCCTCCATCCCCCACCCCACTCGTCCCCCCCGCAATCGCCTCCTTCCTCGCCTCCAAATCCAAATTCTGCCACGTCCAATACACGCGATCCACCATAGCATGATGCGCAAAGAACGCCGGATCCGCAGGCGAATTAATAAAATCGGAGCCTGCGTCACCGCCAATCGTATTGTGACCGCCGACGTGGGGGCCCATTTTGCCTTGGGCGAATTCGCCGCCGAGCACGGTTTGGAAGGATGTGATGGTGGTGTTGTCTTTGATTAGGGCGGCGACGACGGAGTCCCGGGTTTCGGCGGAGGATTGGAGCGAGATGTCGCGGGAGAGGCAGCGCGGGTTGTAGCCTAGACCGTTGGGTTGGGGGTTGGGGGTCGGAGGGGGGAGGGAGACGGCGGCGAGGGGGCCGAGGTTTATTGTCCAGCTGAGGGGGGTGTTAGCGATGGGTGTTGTTGGAGTGAGGAGAGGTAGGAGGGTGGTAGGTACTCTTTGAACGGACCGGAGGTTACGCAGCCGCCTCCACTTCCGGGCTGTAGCTGGATGTAGCACTGTTCGATTGATGGGAAGCAGACTGAAGTTCTGTTCGCGATGTATGCGCCGTCTCCTGACATGCTGGTGTCGCTGCCGTCGAAGAAGGGTGAGGCTTTTGGGTTGTCTGCCCATTGGTCCCTGAACGTTGGCACATGAAGTCAGTATTGGTCTCATACAGACCTAGATAGATTTCACATACCAGTTGTAATAAGGCTGGTACCCTTTATAACCGCATTCATTCCGCAGCATCTGTTCAAAAGCCCAAGTATAGTATCGGTGCCATGTCAAGAAGTTTGCCGTGCCATGGATTGTGAACGCTTGTTGGATATGAGTTACGACTATGTCATCGTATCGGCTCTTTGCTCCTGAAGCGATGGCGGCCGGTGTCTTCGCGGGTAGTTTTGCTAGACATTTTACGGCTTTGATGTAGCTGCGTCTTTCCTGTTTGCTTAATGCTGACCTGGGGTATGTGAGTCCACGCAAAACGGAACGGTGGATGTCTCGCTCACCAATCTCGACGAACGGCTACGTTATCCAGTGTGCATGTTCCCGGGCTGGGTAATGGGTTTTCCGAGTAGTAGGTCTGCATTCGATGTAGACTCTCGGCAGCCAGAGAATCTACTTCATTAGGCTTCCCTATGCTCTTTGCGCCGGTGGTACTGGCCAAAGCCATTGATAAGACGTTGGAGAGCTTCATCATGCTAGGGTACGAAAGTATCTGGTGGTGAATTGAACGTGACGGGAAAGAACTCTTATGTTGGATTGGGAATGTTCAAGACGCTTTGCAGTGACACGTGAGATCGTCCCAACCAAGAGCATACCCTGGTATCACTACTTACCCGGGCTGTTGATGCCGTCTCCCAGCACGTCTTAGGCGAAGCGAGAGCATCCTTCGCAGCGTGCCGTCAGCCGCAGTGGGGCGTTCAGAGTAATCATCTGCAGTGCTGCAATCTAGTCGCCATCCTTTCAAGATGTGTAGGGGAGTCGACATGAATTCTCCTTCTCGAGCGCACTTGAGAGTGTGCATAGTATCAGACGTGTCTTCGAAAATGGAGGTTCGATCAAACCTCGCCTACCATACATAGATTCTTGTGAAAGCGGTGTTGGAAGGATTTGCTATGGAAGGATGAAAGTATCTACCACCTTCGAGTGTCCAGACATGAAAGTTCCCGCATCCCGCCAAGACGCTAGATTTGGCGGCATGCACGGTGCTCCAGGGTCCATTCTTCCGGTCCTGTCTCCCGCGGGGCCTCCCTTGGCCTCTTTCCTCCAGTAATCCAACGTCAAGATAGGGCTGTTAATCCTTCGGAGAAACGCACGGCTGCGTAGCGAATCCGCCCTATATCAGAGCAGAACTAAACACCTAAGATCCTACATTAGGATAAAAACACGCAAAGTCGGTGGCCTGACGTTAACGTAGGCTCTAGGCGTTTACTTTTTCCCTTGTATAAGGTCGATTGATTGCGGCAGCAGGTGCATACCATTGGGCGACGGCGCGCTGCCTGCGTCCCGCGTGGCACAGCCCCCAAAGCTGAGAAACATGAACGCCCAGAACTCTGCCATAGCCTTGTGAGCTGTAGGCAACACTCCCTCATCACCGTCTGACACTCCTGCACCTCATCACACAGCAACGCATCTTTCAACCTCGAATCTCACAGCAACCACATGGAGAGTGTTTACCGACCGCTCGTGGGCGACGAAGTCCGCTTCGTGAGGATTCAGCCTGGTGCCTGGACAGATCCCATCCGATGCGATCTGGTATGTCTACCGCTGACTAACGCTGAAGTCGACGTAGTGGAAGCATGGTTTTCGGGTAGACCGCTACCGAAATTACTACATGAGGAGTTATATGACCCACGACCCTCGAGCACGACAGGAAACTTTGGAGAAGGATCAACTGCGACCGCGCCGAAAGCTGAGATACCATCTTTCGTTGCATTATCATATGTGTGGGGTGACTCAACCCACACGGGACGATTACTTCTCGATGGTCAGCCAGTACAAAAGACCACCGATCTCATCGCTGGCTTGCGACATCTAAGAGCCTTGCTTGGGAACCCCTCCCGCGCACCCGACATCTTTCGCAACAGTAGCACACTGTTCTGGATCGATGCGTTGTGCATCAACCAGTCAGACAATGCAGAAAAGTCGGCGCAGGTGCCTCGGATGGCCGCGATCTACGGAGCTGCAGAATTCGTGTTAGCATGGCTTGGAGAGAACGGAGAAGACGACACCAAAGTCCAAGAGTTCATAGAACTGGTCAACACCAATGATCTCCAGGATCAAGAAAGGACCGCCCCTAGTTACTCTCGCATACTCGATACCCTAAAAAGCGCTGAACTTTCCCGTTTCTTAGACGCCTACAAGAGCCTCTGCCGGCGGCCATGGTTCGAAAGAATATGGGTAATACAAGAGACAGTGATGTCACGCTACACCATTGTTCTAGCAGGATCATATTGTTGTGACTACAAGCACCTTACAAGTGTCTGCGTTGCTACAGTCAGAGATCGTCATGACCTTTTGACCAACGGACCCAGGATGCATTTGGCACGGCCGTATCGTCACCAGATTTTTGCTGTGGCCCTTCGCAAAACAATACAGTCTATCTTTAAGGAAAGATCTGCAACTGGACCAAGTTCTCTTTCTGTTGGATCCCAGAACGAGGTGGGAGATGAAGACTATGATCAATGCTTGTCCGAATCCAACACTACAGCCGAAGGTAGACCTAGACATTTCGCCAATATCTTTAAAGATTGGGCCAATGATGCTCAAGATCTGTGGGAAATGCCCGCAGTTGCGCATGAATTTTTGAGCACCAAACTGCTTGCGTTTCTACTCAGGGCTGCGCTGTCCGCCATGTTTGAAAGATTTGAGGCTACAATTCCTCATGACTATCTTTACGGAGTCATTTCCCTTGGTGGTATTACAACATTTCCCTGGAACCTTGCCCCTGACTATACATTGCCATTCGAGGATGTCTTTCATCAATATACGGAACTGATACTACGCCATACAGGAGATCTTGCTATCATCCCTCGGAAGCGCCATGGACTCGAAGGAGTGCCTAGTTGGGTCCCAGATTACCGTTCATCGCCTGCGTCTTTCAAGCTTTCTGATGAAGACAAGCTATCAGTCAATCCTGATGTGAGTGTCTCGGATGATGGCCAGATTTGCTCCACAAGAGGGACTCACTTAGGAGATGTGGTGCTGGTGCTAGACTACAGTTGCGGCGATGGTTCAGAAGAGGAACGCGCAAACGCCATCAGTCGTTTCGACCACTTTTTTGAGCATGTTTGCAAACAAGCGCAGGTTGACAAACATTGTGTCTTGGGTGACATAGTGCATATGTTCAACCGATCAGGCTATGTTGAGTTTCAAGAGAGCAAATACCAAGGAGCCTACGATGAATACGCGTCTGAATTTGCATCTGCAGGTACTCAAGGCAAAATGTCTAGTGGAGACATATGGATGAAAGTGACACGCACGATTGAAAATGGCGTATGTTTCGCGACTTCACGAGGCCTCATAGTGAATCTGGAAAGGGATGATGAACAGCCTATGGAGGGAGATGTACTAGTCCTATTGAAAGGAGCCAGGTATCCCTGGCTGCTTCGTCCTATGGTCGATTCCAAAGCAGAAGTATACACATTCGTTGGAGCTTGCCAAGTGCTGTACAGGAATTCCCAGAATAGTGGGCTAGAGGACTGGCCTCTCAATTGGTGGGCGGGTATTCGTGGAGAAAGCCTAGGACATTTTTTTGAGTCCAACGACGTACGAGAGTTCCGCTTAGTATAGCACATCACATCGAGAAGCACCATAATGTAACGTCTAGCAACTCCAGGACAAAGCATCATTGTTCAAGCACCTAAGGCATCTCGCTATCACCTCATATAAGAAACGCTAAACAAATCTGCACACTACGTTAGAGCGAAAAGTTGCAAAGTAGATGACCCAACGTCAACGTAGGCTCCAGGGTGTTCATTTTTTCCCCTACGCTGGAGTGCCATAAACCGAACGTTTCAATATGCTCAGACAGCAAAGCACCCATAAACGCGAAATATGTCCCGACAGATAAATTACAGAGGTCCGACACATGGCTTCAGGCGGTTCCGTACTCAAAGATCGTCGCATTTACTCTTGTCTCATACACACTACCTCTTTTCCTCGAAGAAAGAAAAGAGAAAGTGTTGTGTGTATCCAGCTCGAAATCTGCTGATGGAACAGCGGACTGAGCGAGGCAAGAGACCGTTCTACAAAAGCGCGCGCGTTTGGCTTCCAAGCTTCGCGTCGACGCGCGCGTCTCTTCACAGATTGGTGAAGGCAGCGTTGGTGGCTGTATGTGTGGTAGGGTGTGTACGACATGAGTACACAAACTTCACACGCGCGTGGTGATGGTGGCACCGGTTGTGGTTGGGCAGAGTAGGCGGGAGAAAGCGCGGCGTGAGCAAGGGAAAGTTTTTCACGATTATGTCATCACAGCACTAAGCCTGTAGGGTACTAGCGTTCAAAGTCAACCCGCGCAATTCATCCCAACTTCTGCCAGTTCACGCGGCATGTTCAGCACCCTCCAATCACAATTGTGCGCAGATGGCGTGCCCAGGGTCCTTGGATTGGCCGCCGGCTTCGCTTGCGGCTTGCAGAGGTTTGGCATGCTGGACTGACGTGACGCTAGTGTTTATGTGGCATCCCGTGGATATCCAAGCCGTGCGTGTAGAGTCAAGCGATGTGAAATCGTCAACTTCATTTCTTCCTCTAATTCTCTCATCGCTTATTCTTGGCTCTGGAGCTGGAATCGCGACAGCGAATTCAACATGGCGACTGCCCTGCAAGACGAAAAAGCAGCGGGGTCATCTCCTCGCCATGACGCCGAAACAGCCTTGGACGCGACATCCGCCGACAAAGATATAGCAATCAACCTCGTCGGAGAACACGCCCGAGAAATCGATCCACGAATCGAAGCAAAGGTTCTCCGAAAGATCGACTGGTTTCTCATCCCCGCAATGATCGTTGGTATGTCCAATTCACCATCACCACGACCACCGGCCTCATCGATTCCATCCATCTCAATTTCTAAATCATCGCATTTCATCATGTTAACATACATCCTATAGGCTATGGCCTGGTATACTACGACAAAGCGATCCTCGGTTCCGCCGCCCTCTTCGGCATGACAACAGATCTACATCTCACCCAAACCCTCTCCCCCGCTACATCGACTTCCCCAGCGGTAATCTCCACAACGCGTCTCTCATGGGCCACCTCACTATTCTACTTCGGCATGCTCGCAGGACTCTACCCCCTAACATTCGCCCTCCAGCGCTTCAACCTAGGTCGTATCCTCGGTGCCGTCGTACTACTGTGGAGTCTCATCTGCATGTTGACAGCCGCTGTTACAGACTACAGAGGACTGTACGTTCAACGTTTCTTTCTAGGGTTCGTGGAGAGTATCATCCCAACGGGCTTTATGACAATAGTAAGCAGTTATTACACGCAGCGCGAACAATCCGTACGCCAGTCTTGGTGGTTCAGTAGCACGGGTCTTTTTACCATCATCGGCGGCGCGTTGAACTACGGGTTCGCGCAAATCACTTCCGGTGCGTTGAGACGCTGGCAGTATATCTACCTCCTCGCTGGGTGTCTTACCTTCCTCTTTGGATGTTTCTGCTTCTTCATCCCAAATTCATGTGCTGAAGCGTG